CCGTGTTAGTCAGGATGGTCTCGATCTCCTGACCTCGTGATCCGCCCATCTCGGCCTCCCAAAGTGCTGGGATTACAGGCGTGAGCCACCGCGCCTGGCCTTAAAACTACTTTTGAAGAAAAATCTATTTAAGAAGTTGTAGTGTACAATCGCATTCTAATTTGAGCATATTATATGACCTTTCATTTTAAATCCTGATAGATAACATAGAATAAGTAATATAATGAAGCTTATGTTTAGGAAAATTAAGTCTATGATCCTTTATCCTACCAGAGTTAGGAAAACAATTAACATTCTTATTTATTTCAAATCTCACACACCAAAAAAAGAAAAACTATGATAAAATATGGTTTTAGCTATCTGACATACTAGACTCAGAAAGAGAAAAAGGTTAAAAACACACATACCACTTGCTTTCTAGTGGTGAAACTTTTGCCGATGCAGGTGTGTGCTAGTTCCTGGTCCATCTGGGCCATATATGACTTGAGATTATCAAGAGTTCCTTTCAGAGAAGCCTCTTCGCCAGGTTCGTGTGTTTCGAAGTCCAAGTCATCATCACTATCTAAACATTCAAATTCTTCCTCATCCAGATCATCAGAATCTGACTCAAGAGGCCTTGGCCCTACATAGCCCCCAAGAAAGAAAGAGCCACTTGGTAATTATTATTATTATTACTTTTTAGTTACTACACATCTCAAAATAATTAGAATGTTACCCACAGAAAAAGACACATAGTCTACTTCACAAAAATCCCTTTTACAAATGGTAATGCTGTGCATTTAATGTTGTAGAATATGTGTGCATTTAATGTTGTAGAAAAGCGTACAGGCTGAGTCAAAAGATTTAGCTTTAAAAAAAGTGAATTCAATTAATTAAAATATTTTTCTTAAAACATTTAAAAATTACCTAATAAGTGAATACATTTTGATGTAAACATTCAAGCCATACAAATATTGTCTCAAATCTCACACTCTCCCCAGAGGTAGCATCTTTTAGCAGTTTCTGGGTATCCCGATCTTCATCTCTGCAGTTCTGTACATATATACATATTATAATGATTTTTTAATTGAGTTATCTTTTTCTTATTGATTTGTAAGTACAGTAATTCCAAAAAAGAACAATATAATATGGGAGCCAAGGTAAAACCCTATTTAAACACACAGCATTCAGTCACTCTCAAATATTTAATGAGGCCAGGTGCAGTGGCTCACACCTGTAATCCCAGCACTTTGGGAGGCCGAGGCGGGCGGATCACGAGTTCAAGAGATCGAGACCACCCTGGCTAACACGGTGAAACCCCGTCTCTACTAAAAATACAAAAAAATTAGCTGGGCGTGGTGGCGGGCACCTGTAGTCCCAGCTACTCAGGAGGCTGAGGCAGGAGA